GTACTTTAATGTAAAATTAACATACAAACTTATATGTTATTATTTTTATAACGTTTTCATGTGTTACATTTATGTCAACTTTATAACAACACTTTGTATATATCTTTTAGAAATATTATTTTGAGTATTTTTAACATAATCATTTTAAACAATCAACATGTCTCAAAGTCAGTTTAACATTCTAAAAAAAGTTAAAATGATTCCTCAAATAATCTTGAACTTTGACATGCACAAATAATCAAATTTACTAAAATCAAATGTTTCTATTACAAATAATTCAAGTTAAAATAATTACTATTATATATTAATGTTCTCAACATTTCTTACGAGTTATTGTAACTATTTTTTCATGTAATTTTTAATTAATTTGTATGTTATTTTTACATTACGTTTAAAGTCACAATAACAAAAATAAATGTAAAGTATTGTGTCAATTATTTAAGGATGTTTTGTATGAACAATCTCAACAAAAAGTAGCTGAAAATATTGACGAATATTCACTTTTGGTGTATTTTGAGTATGAGAAATTGTGTGAAATATTACAATTGAAATGTTCCGAATTTTGTTAATCGTAATGATTAACTTTTGGCAGAGAATTTCGCCTTGTGACAGATACGTGGCTAACTTCATTAAATTATATTTAATATCTTTTTAACCAGTTAGTACTCGTATAATATTATTTGGCCAAACATTTCCTCTGTATCTAAACTTTTGTAAATTTTCAACAAATTCTGAATATTATTTCCATGTGTTTTTGTCATTTAAATCGACGTGATTGTACGTTTCCCATAAGAACATATGTTAATTCGGTGCAAATTAAAATCCTTACAACTTGTGAACGCTTTAGTGAATTGATTTAAAAATTGTACTGAAGATTCTAAACATATGTAAGGACATTCTGTACAATTTTCATACAAATTCTCAATATTTTGAATAGGTACAAAACATCCTTATGTTAAAATAACTCATTCGTCGTATGTTACTTATTGACAAATTAAAAGTGTTAAATAATTGACACAATTCTTCACATTTATTTTTGCTATTGTGACTTTAAATGTAATGTAAAAATAACATACAAATTAATTAAAAATTACATGAAAAAATAGTTACAGAAACTCGTAAGAATTGTTGTAGGACATTAATTTATAATAGTAATTATTTTAACTTAAATTATTTGTAATAGAAACATTTGACTTTAATTTTGGATTATTTTGTATGTTAAAGTTCAAGATTATTTGAAGATTTACTTTAACTTTTCTTAGAATGTTAAACTAGACATGTGTTTTTGTCATTTGAATCGACGTGGTAGGTACAAAACATCCTTAACATTTTTAGTTTGTCAATAAGTAATCAAATGAATAATTTTAACTTAAAAGAGTAGACTTTCTGGGACATGTGAACAATGTTAAAATTAACATTTTATTTTTTACTTTTACACGAGGGAGAGATGACGCGATTGCCTGATGCGTGATTCGATGAGAGCTTCGCTCGGATTTTAATCGTAATGTCTCCTCGCGATCCCGCATCGGCTTCCTGGATGATTCTTTGACGAGTCGTGACAAACGCGACTGCTCAGCGATCGAATCGCCAGATATCGATTCGCGAGAATCCCCGGGATTCGCGCGACAACAACAACGTTGACGACGATGACCGGTGCCGGTTGTGGCCGGCAGCGCAAACAGAAATTCCGTTATACCGCATAAAGCATCGGCGACCAGATTAGCAGGGGACAGGGGGAGGGTGCGGGGGAGGGGGGTCGATAGGCATGCAGGCCGCATTCTCGGGGAGCCTGCTTGAGCGAACGAGTTAGCGAGCTGCGAAAACGTGGGGGGGCAGAGGCGGAATATGAAGGAATAAGCGCGCGTTTCATCGCTCCTAATTCATTATTTTCCTTAGCGAAGGTCTCTGCGACTTTACACGCATTAAAATTCCTTACTCGCGCCGCTTTTATCCGCGAATCCGTTACCCTCCTCCATTATCGACTCTTTTATCGCGTTATATGTATTATTGCCCGTTGTTCTTGTCGATTCGTATGCGATAAAAAAAAAAAAAAAAACGTATCAATTTTACGCCTTAACTTTGCAGATTCCATCGTCTCGCTAATTTCTCGGCGCTGCTACCGTCGTGTCCTATTAAGTTGTATAAACGAGAACAAAGTGGGAACAGGTTTATAAATTCCTTGCGCAATCTCCGTTATTAAACTGCGCGTTTGAGAACGATTTTCGTCCGGTTCATTATTTATCCCGACGAGATAGACACGCCTGATTCCTTTCGCGCCCACAAGCGCGCTTGGAGTGGATCTGGACCATTGAAATCTTACGATCTCGCCCTTCCATCCGTATAATTTCCTCCTCTCTCTCTCGCTCTCGGCTCGCTCGCGAGTCGCAAGGACTGGAGCGCGGTATCTCGAATTTTTCTCGGTACGTTAAATTATACTCGAGGGGACTCGAGGTTGACGAGTCCGCCTTGGCCAGGAGTTTTCAACGGAGAGCAAAGAATGTTTTACCCGTGATATGTTGTTAAGAAGTTGTTAATTACACCAGTGGCAGAACAGGATCGGCGGATAGATGCGTTGATCTCTGGTTACTGGCCCGAGATGCGCCCTCGCCATCTGATTTTTCCAGTGGAAACCGGTGTCGCGATTTTGCAGAATTTTCCGCGAACTTTTCTCCATATCGCAAGATAATATTTCCTCCAAATGAGAGCTCCCGGATGATTAACACAGCTGAGTGCTACGGTAAATAGATATCGAATAATCTAATCACGAGGCCGATTAGTTTGATTACTCGTCGGAAATAATTCGCCGAGTCGGCTTAAATGTCACGCGCGTGACGATAAAATCGATATTGCGTTGGCTTCTCGCATCCAGGGAACGTCCATCACGAGCGATCGATCCATCTTTCCCTTCGCTCGACGTGAGGAAAACACCTAAGGCTAAATGTTAGAGACGCAACCTACGATCGCTGCCGCGAAACGACGAGCACAATGCGATTACGGGCAAATTTCGCGTTTAGCTATTAGCCAGACCGCAAAATAGCCCCGGCAAAATAATTTATATACCCGGTATGTAGGGTGGGACTCTGCGTTTCTCTTTCGCTCGTTGCATTATCGTGACACCGTTAGAGACGCGATATAGTAGCGGCTATCCTCGACGTCTGTCAACGCTACACTGAGGGAAAAATTATCTTGAAATAAAAAAATGTTAGTTAACTCAAGAAAGCTATTTATTCGGTGGGTACTTAATCACGTATTTACTTGTATTCGTAAAACGTCTGTTTGTTCAAGTTAAGTATTTATTTACATATGCTTAAAAAAATATAATTTTTAATTAAATATTTTTATTTTAATTTTACAAAATATTTATCAAAATGCATTTTTTAATTTTAAAAAATAATATATTTAATTCAATAAATTATAGTATATGTTTTACGGAAATAGTATTTAAATATAAAAAATGTATAAATGAAAATAATGTACTTAGTATAACATATAGTATGCATATTTAAAATTAAAATTAAATGCTTTTGCTTAAACTACGAAATAAACAATTCCTTCCATTTCAAGTAAAAGTTTCAAGAAAATAAAATTTATTTTGATTTAAAAAAATTTTTCCCTCAGTGCACCACATTATTTCTTGCGTCGATCGAATCGCACCTCTGTTCTATCACGTTGGCACATTGATTACGTCGCAATCGAGCAATTTCGCGTTTCCACGTAGCTACAATTTTCCTGCGTGGCTCATTTAGTTTCGCAGCTGGGTCTTTGCGTGCCGTCGTGCGATAAGATCGCCAAGATTATAATTGACAAGTTAGATTTTTTTCTCGCAGGCCACCTCTTCTACCCCCGTGTTGTAACAGAAACCGGCAATTATTTGCACATGGCTTTATATCTCTTACGATACTCTCGGGTATGAATTAGACTGCGTCGAATGTAGGAATTTTTGTCTCGACTAGATAATTGAAATGTTCAGCTTCACTATTGTTTCGTGTTTTTTTTTTTTTTTTTTCGCGGCGGATTATTTGAATTTGAGTAATTTATTACAAGGATATCTTTTCCGTTATCCTTGGGTAGATATTACTTATTCCGCTGATGCCACGGTAACAAGACGTGATGACAGTGTATACAGACGTGACTCGATTAACATAAAGTATTGTTTTGTTCTCGAGCTACCTCAGAAAATGGCGCACAAAGCCCGCATCGAAATGGTAGATTTAATTGTCATGCCGCTGAATATCGCGTATACCGCTTTGTCATTTTATTGCATTAACTGAAAATGAGGAAGTGCTCTGCATACCGCTTGTAAATTCGCTTTAATGCGCCTTTGATATCTCTCACTCCCTCTCTCCCTCCCTCTCCCTCTCTCTCTCTTTCTCTCTCTCCCTCTCTCTCTCTCTCCCTCCCTCCCTCTCTCTCTCTCTCTCTCCTCTCTCCTCTCTCCTCTCTCTCTTTCATTCGACACAAATACGTTTAAAGAAAGTAATATTTTACCTCGGAAAGCGCAATTTAAAAACTAATATTGCGTAGAATACGAAGCTATTTGAATCGGCGTGTTTATAGAAATTTTTGTGATAGTGACTTATATCGAATGAAAATTTTGTCGGAAATCTGCAGGACGTGATTGGAAACGTAATCTGGCGTGCATTTCTGAGAGGAGGCAAGAATGCAAAGCAAGAGGAATTATTAAAAAACATAAAAAGAGAAACGTTTTATTATTCAGTCATAGTTTTTATTCTAAAATAATATCTTTTTTTTCGTTGTGCGTCGAATAGTTTTGCGAAACATGATAACCGCTTGCGAGGGAAGCTAAAGAAGAACGATTTCACGTTTGTACATTATATCTCGAATATTTGTAGTAGCAGTTCAATTTCCTTGCGCACTTTGAATTCGACTGTCGCACTTAGGATAAGATACGTCACGTAAAATTCCTTTTATCTTTTTCTCGAGTATATATATATATATATATATATATATATATATATATATATATATATATATGACGTTTCCTTAATGCTGAAGTTATTACTGGGATGTGATTGAGCCATCTGTGCAAAGAACGAGCACATCGTTTATACGTTTATAAAAATATACATGTACAATTTATAAATGTGTCCCACGTGTGAATTCGTGTGTGCAAGTTTAATTAATCCCGTCTATTAATTCACGTTTGCTCGGCAAATAATGAGACCGTCGAATTCAAATGGAAATTTCGCGCGCGGCGCGTAAATTATGCATTTTCTTAAATTAATTATTAATCGACGGCAAGCGAACTTTGTTACACTGTCTCCGTATCTTCCTCTTCTCACTCGTCATTACAAAACGTGGCGCACTCAAGTCGTACATAAAGTCTCTTTATCGATTCGAACGAAAATAAATAACGCTAAAATATAATACTTTACAATGTCCGGCCCCAAAATATTTTCCATTATCACCGTAAAGCGTTATCAAACGCTTCTGCCGCCGAGAAACACTCGTTAAGCTCGTTATTGCTGGATGAAATTTCGTCATCAACCAGAGAGTGGGAAAACACGATTAAATATACATAATAATTATAATTAGGAAGTGGTATCACTGTGTGCGTGTGCGTGTGGCTCGAGCCAGGATACGGCCCTTGATACGGCCGTGTTGCGTCGGACAGGTGCGTCGGTTTGATATTTAAGCGATATTTTACTGCGGAAGCTGATCGTGGATGCGAGACACACAGCTGTCGACAAAATTAAAATTCTTACGACGCGACACTCGTCCCGAGAAATCCGGAGCACGGTCCGCCGATCGACTGTGAAATTATTCGCGCTACAGTCGAATCGATAATAATCGGCCGGGCCGATCTCTCGGGCAACGGGGGACGCCCAGAAGTAACGAATTTCAAGTACACGCGACGGGCCGCGTATCTCTCGTTTGATCGCGACATACACGCACACACGCACGTTCACATACGTACTTACGCACCGTCGCACTCAATCGTCGCACGTGAGCCGAGTAGCGGCTCCTCTCAGTTCGCTCGTAATTGGCGACATTCTATTTACACAACGATTTCGTTTCAATTATCCCCGCCCGACAACAATTTACAGATTCTACGTGTCGCGCATGATACACCTGGGGTTGGCCTGCGGTCCGCCCGCAGAGAGAGATAGCATCCGAAGATCGCTCTTATCACACACGTCTATGTACACGTGGCACGCTTTATTTATACATACGGATCCTCCGGGATTTTTTTATTTACACACACGCCGCACCGTCTTGAGAGATTGAAAGATTGTCGAGCGTAGGCTCGTCTCCTCGCGCGCGAGTCTTCCGTTGGTTGGTTCCGCTCGACACGAATGACTCACTTGACACACGCCGCGGGTAAACGGATCATATATGGACGGACACGGTGCGCGATCCGTTGGACGTTCTGTTGTTGTGCTGCCGTCGAACCGGCGGCGGCTGCTGCCTCGTCCGCTGCTGCGTCGTTCGCTGATTGTTGGGCACGTCCGGCAACGCGAATCGCAGCTTCTCCCAGAAGAGCTTGTCGCCCCACTGTAGATAGGTGTTGGTCTTTAAGTACAGTCGGATGTCCGGGTCGAGGTCGCGCTGGTGCACGTCGCCGACCAGGACGAGGATCAGCCGGCGTCTTCGGTCCCTCAGCACCTGGTGATGCGCCGACTTGAAGTCGAAGCGACACCACTCGGACTTGATGAAGTTCTCCGACAGCACCATTATCGTGCGCCGCGACGATTCCACCGCCTGCACGATCGTATCGGCGATGAAGCTGCCGACCGGAAAGTCCCGATAGTGCAGGCACAGTTTGTACGAGGGGTTGCCCATCTCGAGGACCGGCGCCAGCTCCTCGGCGACGAACGCCTCGTCCTTGGAGCTGTAGCTCACGAACGCGTCGAACAGCTTGTCCCGATCGTCCCGGTCGATCTCGTTGCCCCGATAGAATATCCGCACCCCGAAACGCGAGTGGAACCACACGCGCAGCTCGTGACGGTACACAAAGGCGAGCAGGCACAAGAGTATCACGACCAGGGAGCTGGCGAGGGTCGCCACCAGCAGCGGCAGATAATCCTGCAGTATCTGCCTCTCGATGATGGTCTTGGTGTAGTTGCGATGCGCGTCGTCGTCGACGTTGATCGCGTCCGAGCAAGCGCTCTCGTTCCCGTTGACGCGCGCGCTCACCGAGAAGCCGAACTCGTCGTCCGCGAACACCTCGTCGCCGAACGTCTCGAATTCCGTCACGTTGTACACGCAGCGCAACGCGGACGCGTCTAAGACGCGGACGTTCGGCTCGTGCGTCCACTCGCGGAAAGTCCGAAGGTAGTCGCACTCGCAGGACCAGGGATTCCCGGCCAGCCTGATCTCGAGCGCGCCCGGTAGCGACCATAACGCGAGATTCGTCAGACGATTGTTCTGCAGCTGTAGAAGCCGCAGGGAGTGCAGGGACGCGAAAGTGTCGTTGCCGATCACGACGATGCGGTTACGTTGCAGGTGTAGGTGCCTGAGCGCGTCGAGCCCCTCGAACTCGTGGCCGCGCAGCTCGCGTATCCGGTTATCTTGCAGGTGTAGATCGTCGAGGTCGCGCAGCCCGTTGAACGATCGGTTTTGCACGATCTCGATGTTGGACGAGTTGAGAAACAGGACTTTGAGCTTCTTGCGACCGATGAAGGCGTGGCTCGACACGACCCGTAGATCGTTGCCGTCCAAGTAGAGCCGCGTGGCGTCCATCGGGATCTGCTCGGGCAGCCGGCTCGCGTGGCCGCCGTTCGAGCAGTCGACCACGTTCGCCGACCACGACTGATCGTGGTAGCACGTGCAGTTGTACGGGCACGTCATCTCGCAGTCGCACGCGTCGAAGTCGCAGCAGTGGCACAGAGCGAAGCAGTGGGTGTCGTACTTGCAGAGGAACTGCGAGTGCGAAGCCTCGACCAGCGGCACGAACACGTGCTCGCGATCGTACAGGAGCTTGCAGTAGATGCTCTCGAGGTCCATCACGCGCGGCTGCACCCGCGTCTGATTCTGCCGATTAACGCGCTGCAGCCACTCCATCGTGCAATCGCAGAGGTACTGGTTGTCGCCGATGTAGAACTCGGGCAGCGGCTTGTCGGGCGGCACCGCGCTGATGCGCAACGCGTACGGCTCGAGATTCCGGATCTGGTTGCCCTTGAGATCGACCCGCGTCAGATTCGGCTTCTTGAAGAACGAATAACTCTGCACCTTGGAGATGAGATTGTCGTTGAGGAACAGTACCTCGACGCTCGTGGGAATCGCGTTGCCGGTGATCTCGGAGAGCTTGTTGTCGCTCGCGTCGAAGGTGCTCAGCTGCAGCTGCCCCTCTATCTCGTAATAGTTGCTGAGCTCGCGGATCTCGTTCGAGTGTATGTCGAGCCACTGCAGCCCGGTCGGTATCATGGCGTAGTCGAACCACTCGAGCCTGTTGTCGCTGATGTTTAGCCAGACGAGATTGGGCAGTTTGGCGAAGAGATTGGAGATATCGATCAATTGATTGCCATCGAGTCGTATCGCTTGTAGATTGAGATTCTCATCGAAGGTCCCGGGTTCGATGTGCTGGACGCGGTTACGCGAGAGGTTGAGGATCTTGAGACCTTTGATACGATCGAAAACGCCTTTGGTGAGATTGCCGATATGATTTTCGGTTAAACGAAGCCCGTATAACTGCGCCACGTGGTCGAAGGTGCCGCTCGGTATCTCGGAGATGAGGTTCTCGCCGAGGTCGAGAGTGCGCAGGAGGGGAGTGGCCTTCAGCGCGTCCGGCACCGATGTCAGCCGGTTACCGTTAAGATGAAAGTCCTGCAGGGATGAAACGTTTCTCAGGGAGCTCGGGTGTATCGTGTGCAACCGGTTGTTGTCCAACGAGAGGAGGCTGAGTACATAGAGACCACTTAGCGTGGTGGCGTCTACGATGGTCAACCGATTGTCGCTGAGCACCAAGGTATGCAGGTTGTAGAGCGCCGAGAAGGTGTTCTCCGCTAGACCTTCCAGCAGATTTTCCTGCAGCCGTAGAATCTGCAGACTGTACAGATCGCGAAAGACAGTCGGATCGAGCCGCGCGATATGATTGCTCGAGAGATCCAGCACCACTAGACGCACTAAATTACTGAACGTGGCCGCGTTCACCCATTCCGCGGTCAACTCGTTGTGCGAAAGATCCAGCACCAGTAACTGCTCCAAATCGTTGAACAATCCGGGCGGCAAAACGCTCAGGGTATTATTGCGCAGGTGAATCTCTTGTATGTCCCGAGCGTCGCCGAACAGCTCGGGCGGCAGGCTGGCAAGACGGTTGTCGGCGAGCCGCAAGATGGCCAGCGACGAGAGGCCCTCGAACGCGCGATCCGCCATGAAGCCGATGGCGTTGCACCGCAAATCCAAGGTGTGCAGCCTCGTCAGACCGGAGAACGCCGCGCTCGGCAGCGACTCGATGCTGTTGTTGCTGAGATCCAGCTCCCTGAGATTCGCCAGGCATCTCGTCGCGGCGTTGAAGCGGAAACTCGCGATGTCCCTGAGCCGGTTTCTCGTCAGGTTCAGAATCTCGAGGTTGACGAGGGGACAGAGCGCGCCCTCCGGGATGCTCCACATGTTGTTCTCCCCGAGATCGAGCTTCTCGAGCTGTCGGAGCTCGTCGGTGAAGGCGCCGGCGGAGACGTCGAGCGCCATCGCCGACCAATCGGTGTTGTGCGTCTTCACCGTGAGATTCCGCAGCTCCCTGAGCCCCTTGAACGCGTCGTCCGACAGGTTACCGATCTTGCAGTACTCGATGACGAGCTCGCGCAGCTCGACCAACGGCCGGAAGCTGCCGGCGCTCAACGAGCTCTGATAGAAGAGCGCGTCGCTGCATTCCAGTCGCAGGCGCACCGTGTGCTGCGGCTGTATCACGCTGAAGTTGGTGTTCTCCAGCTCGCTGTTGATGGTGCGCAAACGGCATACGAGCGACACGTCATCCTCGGCGTCGCCGGTCGTGATCCATTTACACTCGTCCGGTGCCTTGTACCTGAGCGCCTTGCTCAGAGACGCGCCGAGGACGCCGAATATCGTGCCCAGCAATATGGCGAGGAAGGCAGGACTACCCCGCATCTTTTCGCCGCGCGGATCCTCTAATGCTCCATCAACGTGGAATCTCCCTGCCCCCCCCTCCCTCGCCGCTCTTCAGTCTCGATTAACGCCGCTGCGCCTCGCGAAACCGGGGCGTCGATCCATTTAAATTACCACTAGGTCTCTCTCTCTCTCTCTCTCTCGTCGCGCAACTTTTATCCTTCTCTTTTACCTCGCGTCATCCATATCACTCGCGCGCGCCTCTCCATTCCTCCTCGGTCGTCGCTCGACCCTACGATCCTGGTGGTTTCATCCTCGGCGTAATTTGCGTCTCGCACGAGCGTAGAAACGCGCTAACAGGACGCGGGACGCGTAACGACGCGTTCGCGGAGAAGAAAGAGCAGAGAGGCGGGGTCGATGACCCCGAGATTATCGCCTCGGCCGGTGAGAAAAAATCTCTTTTGGACGACGAAAAGTTACCGCGACGCGGTTTTACGACGCGCGCGTGTGCGGGGCTCCGGTGGGCCACGGTCCTCCAGGACTGGTTGCCGGGTCGTAGGCCCCCGGTCCGTCGTCCTTCCCCGCCGCTCGGCCTTCCCGTACCGGTCCTCTCACCGCGCTCCCCGACCGACCGTCCTTTCTTCTCCCACCAAGCTCGTCTTCCCCTCGTCTTCCTCTCGTCCTCGTCTTCGTCGTCGTCGTCGTCGTCGTCGTCGTCGTCGTCGTCGTCGTCGTCCGCGTACCCGGGTCCCGACGTTCTGGCAAGCCTATAAAAACAAGACAGGTACACTCTCCGGGTCCTTACGGTGGCTCCTTCGCATCTGCAGCCTCCTTCATCCCCCTCGCTCCGCTCGCCGCGCTTCTTATTTCCTCGTCTCTCTCCTTTCCGTTTTTTCCACCGCGCATCTTTCCCATTTCTTTCTTTCTCCTTCTCCCCGCGCGCTCCCCCCCCGCATCTCGTGCTCCCCCCTCGCCTGTGTACCCTCTCTCTTTCTCTCTTTTTCATTCCTTCCACCCTTTTTCCCTTCTGTCGATCTTCCTCTCCTCTTCCCTTCTCTCCTCGTTCTTTCATCGTATTGCTGTTCGATTCGTTCGCGAAACCTCACCGCGCCGTCATCTGTTCTCACGTCGTTTCTACGATTCTGTCATGTAGAATGGGACCTCGAAAAAGAATGTTTGCTCGATGCCTTTGTGCGAATCTCGTTTACGTTCGTATTCCGCTTGTCCCGCGCTTCGCAAATACTTTTTACAGATTTCCGCCGCGCTTGTCCCCCCTCCCTGCTCATCCGACTCGTGAAACCGTATATCGCCCTGTGATTTGCATTTTATATAAATTAATTAATATTTAATAGCGTAATACAATAATACAGTTATAAATCTGTATGCAAATGTATATGCAAATAATACAGTTATATTGATTTATATGCAAATTTTATTGCGTCTTTCTTAGAAGGACTTTTATTTAAACTAAATTTCGTTTTTGAAATTTCCTACAATATCATATGCAGGGGAAAAAAATATAATAATTAATATTTACAAATCTTGAAAAAAAAAATATAATAAGTCTAGAAAATATAATAATCTAGAAAAAAAATATTATAATTAATATTTACAAATCTTGAAATAATGTCAAATTTATTAAACATCTCGTTTATTGCATAAAACATTTGTTTTCGAGCATCTTAATCTTTTATAGAATCCGAATTGGTCTCTTATAACCATTTTATCTCTTTACTATTTCAAATTTACACACTTTTATCCTTTTGATCGTGAAACGATTTGATGCATTGTGTTAGGAATTGTGTGCAACACCATGTCAAGTGGTCTCCTATAGGGAACCCCGCCTTTCAGAAAACAGTGTTTAGCAGTTTGCCCTCCCGTCGTTGAAGAGTGATTTGTTACCTTTACCTGCTCAAAGTAGGGTTCCCCTACTTGGCAAAGGGCCTTTGAAATACATCATCATCGCTTAAATCAGCGATCCAACAGGCCCCATTCATCGAGCTTTAAATGACTATAAACAACGTTCGCGTTAACTCGTTGAAATCGATCATCAGCGATTATAAACATTTCTCATCGTTTTTCCTTTTCTCTCATAATTCGCTTAATTTCGCTCGTGACGCATATTTTAATCCGTTGGACGGGACGCGTAATGACACATTCGGCAAGGACGATAAAAGAAAATTGTATCCTCACCATTGTTATTGCCGATAATGGGAGCGAATTATTCCGATTTCGCAATTAAACGTACGTTTTATCACCCATTTGCCCATTGATCGTTATTACGGGATCCTTACCAAGGCCGCGAGCCTTAAATCGGTATTATATTTCACTCTTCCGTCGAGTTCTCTCCCTCCGTTGGTCTGGTAATTGCCAATGGTGGACTGCATTTCAGCAGTCTATAAGCGCGCGTAATATTCCACGGGTGTCTGGTGTTTTGCGGATTAACCATGTATCACATGTGCTTGTAAAACGAAACTGCAACCCGCTAACTACCTCGATTACCTCGGCGAAAGTTCGCGCCATTCTTTCTCATTACACAAATATCTCGAGTTCTTCCGGGAAAGGGTTGCTTCATTCCCGGAGATTATTTTCGTCGGTTTCCATCGAGACGCAATTTTTGGCCGATATTACATTCCCGCGTCAATTACTGTAACCATTCAGACGCGGGCTGATATAAACGTGCGCAAAAAAATCCCATTGCCCAGCGCGAAAACCTGATTTAATCTTCGGGGCGAGATTATATATCAATCATTCTTAATTTACGAGAAAATTTCGTTATGTACTCAAAATTTACGAGAGACGGACAGAGTGAATATGCGTGTTTCTAATTATCGATAACGATTCCCTTTTAGATTCGCAGTCGAACTTAATCCGCCGATAGAGTCCTCAAATTAAGAAGATTAAATATCGCTATTCTTAATCCTAACGATTTCATTATCGGCAATTACATAAATCCCGTTTATAATCTCGCAGTAGTCGGTCCCGTGCCGATAAAGGCAATTTCTACGACTTTGGGGGAGTCATTTGCGTTTTTTATCGGGTTTGATTAGCGACACGATGTGAATGGACCTTAAGCAGGAGGATGCCCCGATGGCTGCGCCGCTGAAAGGTGGCTAGTTGGCGGCAGGGATCGGCGAAAGCGGTCAGTGATCGCTGGGGCCTCATGCCCGGGCCCCTCGTTGCTCACGATCGGGCACCGCGCTTCGGCACCTCCTCTCGCCCTTCACCACCCTTCATCCCCCTCTCCCTCTCCCCCCTTCTCCACCTTGTCTCTCTCTCCGCGAGCCTCCCCACCGCCGTCGTTCCTGAGGCCCTAGTCTCCTTTCAACGGTGCAGGTGACGGGGCATTCTCTTAAATCTAATCAACTACCGAACCATGCGCGTCGTTACTGGATGTTTCCAAATACGAAGTTGCTTCGAAATGTTATAAGGGTCCCCTCTTCTAATCTAATCAGGCAATTTGTATAATTGTGACCCCAGTTTTACGCGTTACATTGGTGGTCAATGAGTACTTTTCTCGAGTATTATGAATTCCACGATTGTACACTATAGGTACACGGACAAAAATATCATTCTACTGCCAGAAAAAGCGATTGCTCAATTTATTTTTCTTTTTTTAAGTAATAGTTTTCTTCAACAAGGAATATATTCTCGATAATAATCTTAAAATATCACAAGTGTTAGGAAATCTCATCATCACGTACTCAAAAGAAGAATTTATTTTCTCTTCGAGAATATTGTAAAGTTGTATCAAAGAAAAATCAAACTTACTTACGTCAACTCTTGTAGTATGCAAATCAAATTGTTTTAATTTAACATTCTTGACTAAAGTACTGCACTTACTAAAATTCAGAATATATTCAATTAAATTTAATGCTTGTGGTGAACTTATGATTTATTTGCGGATATACAAATTTATGATATACTTAAAATAAATAATATTTACTTGAATACAGTATACATTTTTCTCTGTGTAGATATTTTCCCGTTAATCGGCTATTATTATTATGTTTACGAAATTTATGCGTCGCTCTTTCTCGTGAAACATTTTGATAATTGACGTAATTAATGAAAAGTGAAAAATATAAGAGAAAATGACAGTGAAGACGATATTTTTGTCGGTATATTAAATTTTCAAATTTTTTAAATTACAAAAGTACTTTGATAATGTATAATATACGCGCTATATATTTGTGCATCTCTGCGATATCGAGGTACGAGGTGATAAAGACCGCCTGAAATTGAAAGAGATTTTGTCATTATGTATTCAGAGAGTATGCAATCGTGTATTGTGAGATCGTTTCGGATGCACTGTTTTACTGAATGTTTTCAAATACGAAGTTGCTTTGAAATATTATAAGGGTCCCCTCTTCTAATCTAATCAGGCAATTTGTATAATTGTGACCCCAGTTTTACTCGTTACATTGGTGGTCAATGAGTACTTTTCTCGAGTATTATTAATTCCACGATTATACACTATAGGTAGATATTTTCTCGTTACTCGAATATTATTATTATGTTTACGAAATTTATGCGTCGCTCTTTCTCGTGAAACATTTTGATAATTGACGTAATTAGATGAAAAGTGAAAAATATAAGAGAAAATGACAGTGAAGACGATATTTTGTCATTATATTAAATTTTCAAATTTTTTTCATTACAAAAGTACTTTGATAATGTATAATATACGCGCTATATATTTGTGCATCTCTGCGATATCGAGGTACGAGATGATAAAGAACACCTGAAATTGAAAGAGATTTTGTCATTATGTATTCAGAGATTATGCAATCGTGTATTGTGAGATCGTTTCGGATGCACTGTTTTTTTCGGCCGCGTTACATCATCGTTGTAGCATCGATGCTCATTAGTTCGGGAGCAAGGGAATCAATCAGAGACGTTTGGATTGTTGCGCGTAATAGTGAAATGAAACTACCGGATTCTATTGCCGGCCTACTCCTCGCTTGATAAAGACAGATGCGCGCCAGCCATTCAGTGGGTGTCTAACTGTGTAATTCCGTTGTTACATAATAACAGCTGTGGCAGCGCGGGCTATCTACGATGGTATGCGTTAATTGTAAAAATCATTGATTGATGGATGACTTTTCTTCTCGTTGGAGCTAACTTGGATGGAAAGAAATGAAGATTTAACGTTACGTATTTTGATTGAATAAGAAGACATAATAGAGCTACGCAAATCATGCGTGAGAGTGACAGGACTATACATCTTCGAGATTTTCTCACAAACATTTCTCAGTTATCCTGTTACCAGTTATTCCTCAGTTACCCTTGCGTTTGAAGAAAAGAGTAGATTTTTTATTAAAGTTGAAAAACTTTTTGTTTAATTTGGCAATTTTTTAAAAATGTAATAAAATTACAAAAATATTAGATTTCTTTATGTATATATTTTACTTTATAAATTTGCAATTTTTATAGAGTATTTTATCAAACGTGAATAGCTAAATATTTCTGTTGCTTTTGATGATGTAGCAAAATGAGATGACACGAAAAAGATAGAAATTGTG